GAGGCCGAGCGGGGACCCTCCGAGGAGCCGCCGCCGGCCGAGGCCCGGGAGCTTCCCCGGGAAGGTAGGCTGGGGCGGGGGTCGGGCCGGGGCCCCCGGCGGCCGGGTGTCACCCCGCGCTCTGAGGTGGGTCACTTTCTCTTTTTCCAGATGCCGCCCCTGCTACCCCCGCCCGCCGGGCCCGGGGCAGCGAGAGCACGGAGGGGCTGGGGGGCCTGTCCCCCGGCGAGCTGACGGCCATCCAGTGCAAGAACATCCCCGATTACCTCAACGACAGGACGGTGCTGGAGAAGCACTTCGGCCAGTTCGTCAAAGTCCGACGGATCATGACCAGGCGCAATAAAAAAACGGCCGTTCTCCACTTTTTTGATCATGTGAGTGTTAGAAGCACTGAGTGCCGGAGCAGCCTTAAACCTGAGTGCTTGTGATGGGCCTGGCCCTGGTGAGAACTGCACCCCTGTTTGGTAACGCAGGGTGGCTTTCACCTGTGGGAAAGCTTTGTGTCACGAGCGCTGTGCTACAGACGGCGGCAGAAGTGTATAGCGCTGCACGTAGAAGTGGTCGCTGCTGGAGCTCTGCCTGGCTTTGGCTGTCCTCTTAGCGTCCAGCTCAGATAGCGAACAGATCTTCCCTGTTTGTTGTCTCGTGTCACCCAAACGTGAGTCATGTGCTCTGCTGTGTTCTTGGCTCGGCAGCACCAAGGGCAAGGTGAGCTCGTGCCAGCCTTGTAGGGTGACCTGCTCGCTGGAAATACTGCCGTTACATCAGTGCTGAGGTGTGTTGAGGAGCCAGTTCAGAGACTGCGCGGTCTGTTCCTGTGTTGTGCTTGAAAACTCACCTTTGGCTCAGGTGCTATAAGCTTGCCGTAGCTCTTAGAAAAGCAGCAATTTTTGTGGAAACTGGTGGTTGCATGGAGGTCTTGAGTGAGAGATTAAAGTGCAGTAACCAGAATTTCATGGAAATTGGTAAATATTTCTCTGGCAAAAACTGCACTGCCCATCTGGTGGTGTGATGCTAACAGGTTTTCATACTCTGCTTTTGTTTTCTTTCAGGCCTCTGCAGCTCTTGCCAGAAAAAAAGCGAAAGAGTTGCACAAAGACATAGTAACGTTTTGGCAAAAGAAGAAAACGAGTAAGTCTGTGTTTTGGAATATGTTTACTGGGTGATATGTAAATGGCATATCATTGCTCTGTTCTTGTTTCCTGATGTGCTGAGATTGATACAGAGATGATCTCCGCAGTAAGGATGTTACAGTTCCAGAAGTAGGATGGTTTTCTTTGACGTTTGCTTGTCAGATTGTTTGGTGCGCAGAGCTTATGGCAGTGTTGAAGGTTATTCTTTGAGAAACATAAGAATAGTTGTTCTGTATTTTATGTGACACCCTGCCTAGCCCTGTCTGTGGCAAAGGCTAATAGTTAATATGTAGGGGAGGGGAAAAAGAACAGGGTAAAGCAAGTAATTCCTTCCAGAATAATTTCTCAGCCTTTAACAGCCTATGGCTGGGGAGCCCTGGGTGCCTGAAGGGGTATCTTAGACCTTGGAGAATTTTCCTCTTGTGGAGTTACCCAGTTGTTTTTGCAAGGTGTGTAAACTTCCAGCATCCACAGTACTGCCCTCTGGTATTGGGAAAGTTTTAAGTGAGCAACTGCAAATCACAGTTGGAAATTGCATTGTTTCTTTCTTAAATTCGTGTTGTTAAAAATATTTTTCTTTATATGAGCCAAAATGCTGTTCCAGCCATATGAAAGAACTGAAGACACTTGAAATGACAGTGTACGTGAGAATTAGAAACCATTCGTGCAGCCACACAATAGGAATATGGTGATGTTAACTTTGTGCTCCTGTCTAGAAGTAGAATGTTCTTTGGAGATGTAGGAAAACTCAGCTTCAAGTGCCTTGCTGCCTGCTTTGGAGCACGGTGTGGGATGTGGGCTTCCAGGGCCTAGGAGAGTGTTCTGAGAACTGTTATGGAGTATCCTGGAGTGACTGTCAGTGTTGCTGAGGTTGCTGTTCTGCCTATCAACAATTATGTGCTGCTTAAACCAAAAAGAGAACTGAGTTTAGGATTCCAGACCTTGTTTGGGGTTAGGGCAAGAGGAGATGTGAACCTTGGTTGTTCACCCCTTAGGCAACTACCTGAACTGTCAGGTGCTTCCCTTTCTTTAGCTTAATGCTGTGTGTGTACCTCTGAGATCCTGGCCTGGGGATGCGCTTCAGCTGTCAGCAAATGAACGGTTCACCGCAGCTTTGACCACCCTCTGACTTGCCTTTCAGAAAACAAGCAGCTGCAGAGTTTGTCTTCCTGAAAATTATCATCTTGTAGCAGCAGCTATAGGGGTGCCTGTTTGCCTTTGACATTTTATTGTGGTATTAAGTGTCTGCAGAAATGTGAATAGCAGTATTCTGAAATAACCAATTTGAGATAATTTAAGAAATCTGACTGGCTGAAAATTTATTCCTGGCAGAAGAAATTCTCTCTTCCTGTGAGGTGTAGATGTAACTCTTGAGAAGGAATCCCAACCTCAGTCTAAGCTTGGGATTCTGAAATAAATTATTAAAATGCTTCAGAAGGAGCACTGGGAATTGTGGTTTACATAGATGAAATGGATTTCACATCCTGTAGGGAGTTACAACTTGTGGATTATATCCCAAACCTGAGAGAATTTAAATTTGGATGATGATCAGACTTCATTTACTGACAATCTGCTGACTGACTATAGTTATTGCTAAGTGACAAGTGTTTTTCAGTAAAATATTCTTTATAGAACAGTGACGCTGACTAGCAATTGGTAGATTTATTTGGTACAGCTTCCAGTGCAAGTTGTCCTGGAAGTTTTGCATGCATGTAGAAAGCTGTGACTTTTAGTTTTATTTTCTAATACTATTTTCTTAAACAAACTGCTCACCACCACACCCCATGTGGGGAAAAAAATGTTGTTGCTTAAACTATTAGGCAAATACCTGGCTTCACGCTTATATGTTACATCAGGTCCAGCAAAAAGAGAATTTTCACCCAAGGAGAAGAAAGCAGGTGAAGATGAAGGAAGGCAAAGCAGTGAAGAGCAAAACTATCAGCATTCCTCTCTTCAGAAGCCTTTAATGAGATCCTCTGCCAGCAGTGTCATGCCTGGTAAAAGGTACGTCTGCTCCTCTGGGAATCCATCTGGCAGGAAATGGGGTGGCTGGGGAAAAATGATGTGTACCAAATAGTCATGTTCTTATCAGGGAGTGTGCTTCCCTTGTCTTTTGGTTTGAATTAGAAGATCTTGCATTTTGTCGGAAAGATATGTCTAACGGCTTATGAAGGTTTTTTACTTTGGTCTGCCTATTTCTTTTGAATATTTTATTCATAACAGCAAATAACACCTGCAATAGTGAGGTGTAAGGGAATTGAATGAAAGAGTGCAGAACCAAACTAGGACCTAGCAGTAAGGACACTGGTGGTCATGATTAAATGAGCTTTTGAAGTGAGTAGCTTCATTTGTCGTTAATAACAGCTCTGTGGAATGAGAGTCCTCTTTTCAGAGTAGCTGGTAAGTTTGGATCGTCATCTTGTCTCACTTCAAGTGAATGCTCTTTGTACAGGAATCCTGTTTCGTGGCAAGGTTGTCATCTTTCTGTGGTACCTTAGTGGTGTGACTAGTTTGACAAAAGTAATTTGGTATGTGCAATTATATGATTATAAAATTAATAATATATTGTGAAGGAGCAAATGTTCCTTGACTTAAAAAGATGTTTGTATCTGGGCCCTTGTAAAATCTTCTGATAATCTCTGTTGTATTAAAAGCATTAGTTTTTTTTCCACACCAAACAGCAGACTAGTTCCTGGCTTAAAATGCAAACTGCTGTGCCATAGTAATGGAAAAATGCAGCCTTCTGGTTCTGTTCGCTCTCGGACAGATTCAGTAATACCATTTCTGTTGTACAGAGGTTGAGACTTTCACTACAGTCGAGAATGCTTGGCTGTGTTGTCAAGGCAGTGCTGAGGACTTAACCAGATTAACTCCCAGTGCTAGTGTTAGCTCATAAAGACCTTAGTATGTTGATATGTACTTTGTTTATTTGATACATTGCCTTGTGAAAAAAAATAATCTTCTAAACAGAGATGTTGAAGTCCTAAAGGAGCAGTGAACTGATGAGGGCTGGGGCATGTGTTAGTGTATTATTGATAAAAAACCCCAAACTTCTATTTTTAGTTCTCCAGCAAAGAAGCCTGGTCTTCGAACAACACTGCAGCATGCAGCAGATCTGTTTGATTCTAGTTCTGAAGGGCAGAGCTCAGAGGCCTTGTCATCTCTCAGTAACCTGGTAGGATTAGTGGCTGAGACATCTGAAGAAAGATACCGTCTTTTGGACCAGAGGGACAAAATCATGCGACAAGGTAATTACACAAGTTAATGAGTGTAACATCTGCTTCTCTGCTGAAAAGTGTTTGGTGTCTGTTGCAAAGCTGTTGCTTTAAAGAGAGAATTTAACATGAACTAGTTTATAAAATTCTGTTGTACATATATGCATTAATTTCTTGTGGAACACACAAATCTGTTTTACTTACTGCATGTGCATATTTCTTGTGGAAGGTGAGTAGCAGACAGTTCATCTTCTGTGAACGAGGCTATGTGGGGAGATTTTCATCCCTACGGGCTCTTTGAAGAAGGCTACCCAAAGCCTAACTGTGTTTCTCTAATTTCAAACTACTACACAGTAACTGTTCCAAGAAATGGCCTTTTGTTTTACAGTGCTGGGTCATAAACACTTCCATCCTGTTCTTACCATTTCAAGGCTGACCCTGCTTTTAATTTAAGATCTTGATTTTAATATCAGCAAATAGATTTCTTGTCTGTTTGATGTGGAATTTCTGGTGCTTAGTTAGGAGAAAAAAAATTGGGCATCTTTTAGAGGCTTCAGTCTTCTCAGCAATACTTTTGATAACCAGGTGGAACGGTAGGAGAAACTTCCCCAAAGTGTCACCAAAACGGGATAAAAGAACTTATCGACACCGATGGGATGTTGATAAGCACACTCCTTTGTTAATGGCTGGGTGTGCAGTGGAGTCATCTCACCAACAACGCACACCTAACTGGTGTAGCGCGTTGATCATAGAGGATGCAGTCATACATATTAATCAGGTTCTCATACATACACATGTAAACTCTTGTAACTCCTTTTCATATTCTCTCTTCTTCCCCTTCATGCGCACTTGAGTCCTGAAATGAATCAGGCGGCTGCTTTTATGACCACCATGGACTCCTGACCTAAAAGAAAAGACCCTCCAATGCCCTTGACCCAAGGATTTTTGGCTTACACTGCAATTTTAACATGCTTTGAGGCCCTTTCACAATGTAACTTTTACAGTACCTGGTCTATAGGGCAATAAATCATCCTGACCAGACAGTCTAACAACGGTACCTCATTGCAAGTCTTATTCTTTGTATAGAAATCTAGTTAATGGTTATCACTAGTCTATGTGGCCTCAGCCTGGGACTTTAAAAGAGGAACTTTGTAGCAGTATATAACTGATTATATAGTCCAAATCATTCCTTATTTAAATCCAAATCATTAAAATCAGCTCAAATTAATAACAGTAACACAACAAGTGGTGCAACTCTGGGACAGGCTCCAGAGTGGGGGAACCCAATCCTTGTGTGTTTCTGACCATGCCAAGGTATGGGTACAGCCTTGCTCTGAGTAGAGTAGGGTGAGAATATCTACAGACCTTGTCTCACCAGCTTTTTTTGAGAACTGTTGCTCTAGCATCATACTTCTGGACATCCATCCATTGACCAATGTACATACTCCAGCTGAGGCATGTGGCACACTTAGGGCTGTGTTGGTACATCAGGGTAATAGCTTGTCATGAAAACAAAAATGAGAAATGCTTAGTGTTTGTTCAATTTTATTTTTTTTTAGCTCGAATAAAAAGGACTGATCTTGGCAAAGCAAAAACTGTTGTTGGCACTTGCCCCGACATGTGTCCTGAAAAGGAGCGCTACATGAGGGAGACGAGAAACCAGCTCAGTATCTTTGAATTACTTCTAGGATCTGACAAGGTATTCAGGGGTTTGTTGTTCCCAGGACATCTGTTTGTGTGCTGCTCATATAAAGCTGTCAGTGTTTAGTTGATCACAGGGTTAATTCTGGGGGAAAAATTCTGGAGGCTATTGCAGTAATTGATGTCTTTCAATTCCCTGTTGTACAACAAGGCTAGAGAATTGCTTTTTCAGTCTAAGTAATGTCTTTTATTTAGCTACAGACAGGCTTTTAGAACTATAGTTCTAAAACTGTAGGGTGGCAGTATACACTGCCTTGAAGGTTATGAGTTTGAGACTAAGTCAACATGTAGGATCCTGCTGTAAAAGAAAACAGAAAACATTTGCTATTGTAGCAGAATGGACACGGGCTGTTGGTGTGAACAGTGGAAGAATGCTTTAACAGTCTGCTCCTTACTAGACTAAAGGCATGGATGGGATGAAATCCCCTCTTCTGAAAAGCTGAACGTACTCCTTGGGTTTGATTCTTTTCTCCATGTCTTGCAGGTAGATCATGGAGCAGCAATCAAAGAATATAGTAGGTCTTCAGCAGATCAGGAGGAACCTTTGCCCCATGAATTGAGACCCTCTGAGGTGTTGAGCATGACCATGGACTATTTAGTGACAAACATTATGGACCAAGGAGAAGGAAACTACCGAGAGTGGTATGACTTTGTCTGGAACAGAACTCGTGGAATAAGAAAGGTAAGCACTAGTGAATGGAGGTGTTTGATGATAGAAAGCAAAAGATCACATAATGCTGTGAAAAGTGAGGCAAAAAGCAGTAGTAATTCAAATGTTTTGAATTGCAAAATGACTCGAAGCACGGTTGAAATGAGTTTTCCAAAGGTAGGGCCAGATGACTATGCTCAACAGCAGTTTAAAAATACATGCAATGCTTTCTTTATCATTCTGTTTAGGATATAACCCAGCAACATCTCTGCAACCCTCTGATGGTGTCTCTGATTGAGAAGTGCACTCGCTTTCACATCCACTGTGCTCACCACTTGTGTGAAGAGCCCATGTCCTCCTTTGATGCCAAAATCAACAATGAGAACATGACTAAATGCCTGCAGAGCTTGAAGGAGATGTATCAGGACCTGGCTAACAAGGGGATTTACTGCAAGAGTGAAGCAGAGTTCAGAGGTTATAATGTCTTGCTGAATCTCAACAAGGGTGATATTCTCAGGTGGGAGCAACAGATAACACTTCTCCCTTTTACCTATGGGAAGAATTGAGATTAGGATTAAGTCCAGACAAATTCTAATGGAAGTTCTTAGTTGCAAAATTTTTTTGCCAAACAAAGTGTACTGTAGGTATGTTTAATTTTTCAGTAGGTCATTTTAAGTCTTATGTTTTAAGAAAATAAAAAAAAAAGCTTTGTTTTATCTCCTTGAATAACTCACTAGAGCTTCTGCAGGTGGTAAAAAAAGCCACCAACCAAAAAAAAAGTTAAATCTTCACTATTCTCAAACAAGGAAGATTTTGTTCTTTTTGCATAGTGGTATCCAATTTTCACTGCTTTATCTGCAGTAGGACTAAGCAAAAAACATCTTGTGGGCAGAGTCATAGTTTGCTTTTCTGGTCAATCTCTTAACTGCCTTCCTCCCTAGAGGTTGGAGCGATGTACCTAGATAATAACATGCTGATTATGCAAGCATCGTTAGAAGATTAATGATCTGTAAATAATGCCACAAATTTAATTCACAGCCGTTTGTTTTGAACAGGAGTTGCATGTCTTAAAACTCCTAACTTTAATTCCGTTTTGTTACAGGTTGCTACTGGATTGTGATTTTAATATTGAAGCAAAAGGTTTGTGTATGTCTTTTTTGTCTCCACAGAGAAGTACAACAGTTTCATCCAGAGGTTAGAAACTCTCCTGAAGTTAGATTTGCAGTTCAAGCTTTTGCTGCTTTAAACAGCAACAACTTTGTGAGGTTCTTCAAGTTAGTGCAAGCCGCTTCCTATCTGAATGCTTGTCTCCTACACTGCTATTTCAGCCAGGTGAGAAAAAGGCAAATGGATGTTTTTTAAAGTGTTAATCAGTAAAACGGTCTGGAACTTTTGGGAGGAAGTCTTCTTAGCAGAAAACTCGGTAGATGTTTAGCCTTTAAAATAATCTTATGCTTGCTTCTTCAGACGTGATTAAAAATTTAACAAGAGTTTTCTGCAGTGATATAAAAGGCAAATATTAAAATACTACTCTTAACATTTTTCTTCCCATAACTGTGTACAAATACATGTTATTTCCACTAAAAATAATTGGGAAGCAGAGAAGCAGGCCTGAGACTTTTGCAAAGGAAATGTCAACCTGCACTTCCAGAAGACCTTGCAAGCTTTTTCTCCTGTACAAGAATCACAGTGATATGATCAAAATGAACAGTGTTGAGGAGGAGCAGAAACTAGAAAGCAAGTGCATAGAATTTAAGAAGAAAGTTAAATCTGAATAGATGTTTGTGTTTCTATTTGATGACAAAGTACTGATTTCTTTTAAACATTTTTTCATGTATATAGTACATTTTGGGGTCTTTAACTTAGTAGTTACATGGCTTTTTCTTCTGTCTTCCCCCAGATTCGTAAAGATGCTCTCAAATCTCTCAATATTGCCTACACTGTGAGCACCCAAAGATGTACAGTGTTTCCCTTGGATCACCTGGTCCGTATGCTATTGTTCAAAGATTGTGAGGAAGCAACCAATTTTATCAGTTATTATGGCCTGAGTGTATCTGATGGGTAAGTGTAAGGAAAAGGGTGCCTGTGCCTTAAGATGCCTAGTGCAGTTAGACTGAAGTTACATGAAGTGTTAATGGGCTGCTCCTGCAGTCTGCAACCAGGAAAAAAAAAAAATGGGAAGGGTAGGGGCTGGGCATTGTAAGCAAAGCACTAGGATAGTGATGGGTGCAAATTTTAATAATATCTTCTATTTTATTGCTGTAATTATGAAAAGTTCTTTAATTGTGCATCTTTCCCTCAAGAAGTGGGGTTTGTATCCCTGTAACTACTGTGACTTCCCACAGTAGCTTTTTTTTTTTTCACTTGTACATCTTTTTTTTACTTGGTTTGATAGAGTGACAAGGGATTTTGAGGATACAAAATTCCTTCAACTTTCTGGAAGCTGGTGGAAAAATGAGAGAAGCATTTCCCCCGAAGGAGAGACTGTATATTGAGCTCAGTCTCCTTTGGACTCCAGGGATTTTTTCCCTACAAAGAGATGTTGTGGATAATGCAGTAAAAAAAAAAAAAAATTGTTTTGGCTGCTTCTTTTGCAGCTGAATTGTAGTAAATTGCAGATCCATAGGAAATGAGAATACAGTTCTGCTTCTCAGGAAACTGGCTTTATGGTGATGCATGTCGGGTAGGGTGAAACCGAACAGTGCAGAGCAGTTTAATTTAGAGGGTGTTGGAGGCCAGTGGTTTGCAGATAAGTGTCTGACAAGGAAATAGATATGTTTTAAGGTGTGCTCATGCAGACTTGCAATCTCAAGAACCAGAGAAGGCAAAAAACTTGAGCATGCCTGTTACTCTATTTAATACTGTTAACATTCTGTTTTGAAATAATTAATTAGCCAGACTACAGGTGCCAAGGTTGGAAGAAGATTGCAGCTTTTAAAATTACTTCTATAGACAGCTTGTGGCATCTATCATGTGGGATGTAGTTTAGGTAAAATGTGCATGGATAATACACACAGTGGATAAAGGTTAAAAGGAGAAACAGACAGAATACACCCAAAAGGGTGCCCAAAAATGTTAGTTCAGCTTGTACTCTGTCCAGGGAGGGTAGCTGTGAAGAAGTGCTCTCTGCCTTCCCTGATCTGGTTCCAGCCAAAGATTGAGATACAGGCTACAGGGAGCAATCCTGAGTGCCCAATGCCTGTCTTGCTTTGCCTTGCTAAGCTGTCCAACTGAAAATCTGTAGGTTACTGGATCTGTGAGGATGTATTCCTGTTTATTTCTCCCCAGCGCTTACGTGGAGCTGAATCGCTCGGCTTTCTTGGAGCCAGACGGGTTACTCAAACCACGTAAGTCGGTGTTTGTCAGCCAGAAGCTAACTGTCTCTGTTGGAGAAGTTGTAAATGGTGGGCCGTTGCCCTCGGTGCCTCACCATGTGCCTGTGTCCAGCTTCAACGGACAGAATAAGTATATCGGCGGAAGCACCCCTGTGGATCAAGCTAGTAGTAGCCAAAAATCCAGAGTGGAAGCAACAGGTAAGAGCAAACATGCATTTTAGACACTACTCAGGAATGAACTGTTGAGTCAACTCCATAAGTAGTTTTTGCAAAGCAGAATCAGTTCTTGGCTCACATGGGTTGAAATTGCACAGAAATTTGGATGTAATGAAAGCATGTTTTGATTTAAATGTACTTATATATCTGTACAATCTAAGAAGTGACCTGATTCATAAAACACATTTCCCAGTATAGGAAATGCACTAATAGAAATGAATGCAATTTTGCCAACATAGGTGAAGTAACTAGATACTTGGCTACTTAGACAATCAGCTTCTGCCTTCAGTTTGCAGATTTTTGTATTGCAACTCTTTGTTTCCACTGTATATATAGTCACGTTGTTTATCAGGTTAGCTGAATGTATGCTTTTTTGGTCCTTGTTGTTGAAAGTACAGATATTTTGCATTTATTCAGTGGGTGTGTGTAGGTGCTAGGTGTACTTGACTTTCAACAGTTGTTTTATTGGAAACGAATGTAGTTGGTATTGGAGGTAATGTGCAGTGAAATTTTTTGCATGTTTTGTATAAAATACTCGTAAATATAAATTAGTTTCCATGATGTAATTCCATTTTTAACTTTAAGGCAGCAATTTATGACCTGATAAGATTTCAGACAAGCCAGCTTTTGAAAATAAGAGTTGTTTTGCTTTGGTTTGTGACTGACCTGGTTTCCTTAATTTTTCTCTTCCCCCTTTTGCCAAGAAGGAAGAGGGGAAAGCAGAGGTTTGGATTTAGATGCTGCAGCAGTGAGAGTCCAGCCTGCAGCTCATCTTCTGCCCTCACTGTTACCTTGTCAGCTCGTGCCAGTGCTGCCTCCTGTGCAGACAATCTCCCAACCTGCTGGTCAACCTGAGCCCCTCTCTTCAAAGCCTCAGCCTGCCTACACAGACACAGTAAGGAAATTTAAACCCATCCTGAAGTGTTTGGGAAAGATCTGTGAAATATAATAAGGTAACTGAGTTCTCAGGTGGTTTTAGTTTTCCAGAACCTGCATGTGTTAAGTAGGGCAAAAGGAGACACTTTAGTGCTTTGGATTCTTCGAGAAGTTGTTTTCTTGGACTATTTTAAAAGAGAAAGCCTTGAGTGATTTTTAGAAGCAAGCTTGAAATGTCAGTGTTTATCCTTCATAGGATAAACAGTCCTGTCTGTTTAGTATTTATTTGAGAAACCTGTAGGGAGAGAGTCAAAAAGTGATAGTAGAAAGTTATTATCTTTTACTTAGCAGGTAAACTTTGGTTTAGTGAATAACACTGAGCTGTTTCTTAATGGCACATATTTCAAATGAGACATGACAGTTTCTTCTTGTGGATATATGACTCTTAATGTTGGGTCTTGAGTGTGTAACCTGTGTATCTGTGCCGTTCCCCTTTTTCTCCCTCCACACATGTTTGGATATGTTCTAATGCTGAACCCATCCCAGAGTGTGTCATTGCTTTGTAAAGTACAGTTGCCATATTCTACTTAAATGTGGCTACACTTCAGTGAAGATTAGAGCTGGTCATTTGGAATTAAATGAGCTAGAATGAGAGAAACTCTCAAGAAAATAAATTCCCCTCAAAATTCACTTTTCTTAGCTGCTGTTTCCTAATTTGGCTTGCCTGTTTTAATAGAGAAAGCTGCTTTTGTTTCTGGCCTGTTACTAATCTTTTAGTCTAAAATTTCCACACTGTTGTGTTTAAGTTAGGTATTAGAAATATAGGTAATGTTGCCAATCACAGTCGGTTAAACAAGGCTGAAAAGCCTCACTTCTAATTCACATGTGTGCCCAGGCTGTCCTGAGCAGGACTGTTATTTTGCTTCTCTGTTGTCTTGTAGGACATTGATGAAGTGGTGGATGAGCTCGTGCACGATGTCCTCAAAGGAGAGTGCAGAGAAGTTGCCAGAGCAGGAGTGACTTACATGACTGCTGCCATCTGGTAAAGAGCATTTATTGCTGGTACTCCTGGAGTCTGTCATCAAAGCTGCAATTTGCCATAGCAGTGGGAAGATCATAAAACTAAGTAAGGCAAGGTCTTGCTAGCCTAGTGGAACACTAACTGCAGACCTGTAAACTGTGCCTTGCATGGCACTCATGCCACTGCCATGACAAACGTGTTGTGGAAGGAAAGGTGCCTGAAAGGGGACAAAAGGAGTAAAGTCCAGATCTGGCTGCTTCTCTGCTCTTCAGATAAACGCTTCCTCTCCAAAGCATTTAGTACCCTCGTAGATGTGGGTTTGTGGAAAAAAAAAAAAGTGTTATTAATGCACCAGTGTTTTCATCATTGCTGAATAGCACAGGGTCAAGGGCTTCCTGTTTTCCATTCTGCAGCTCTGCAAGTAGGCTGGGGGTGTGCCAGAGGCTGGGAGGGGATGCAGCTGGGATAGCTGACCCAGACTGATCAAAGTCTCTACAATGTGATGTTATGATTTGCATTAAAACTGGGTTGGAGGAAGAAGGTGGTGGGGTTTTCTGACTTCCAGGGTGGCCACTGGTTGGAGACTGTCTGGAGATTGGTCTGCCTGAGGGAGGTGGAGGCTGACTGCCTTTGCCTTGTTTGGTAGAGGTGTGGGGTTTTTTTCCATTCACCTGTTAGTGCTTTATCTCCATCCACAAGTTTTCTTGCTTTTGTTCTTCCCTTTTTATCCCCTGTCCTGATGTGGGGTGGGGGAGTGAGCCAGTAGCAGTGTGGGTGCTTGATTGGTGGCTGGAGCCAGCCCACCACAATGGAACAAGGGTATGTTGGAGAAAGCACAGATATAGGGATTTGCATGAAAACTTTTTAGCTTTTGAAAAGAAAATTGGTGTTTCTGCACAGCACCTCAGAGGCCACCGTGGAGGAACTTGTGACTGAAGTGATGGGGGAGATCCTCAGACAAGTGTCTGGGAGTGTGCTTAGCACAGAAAGGGAGCGTGTCAAAGAGGAGAGGCGCAGAGTGGAGGAAGAGAGGTGAGTTGCAGATTTTGCTGCGGGGCAGCATTGTATACACACCTAGGCAATGTAACTCCTAGGCAACATAATGACAGCTGGTGCCAACCTGGCATGTGTGCTCAGGCCTTGTGTCTTTGCCACACCAATAGCACTCAGTTTGTCTCACCTCAAACTGCCCTGGAATCGTGCAGTCAGGCTGTCCTTTTTATGTTCTCCGGTGATCTGCTAGTTAGTGTTTTGGTGACCTCCCAGAGCCACTATGAAAATGGTGGGATTTTGGGAACATTTATTCACCCAGAGCTTCCAGAGAGGGAGATGCATTTTGGCATTGCTGTATGCAGGAACTTGGTCATCTGAATGTGCTACTTCTCTATAACTTACCAGGGTAAGAATAAAATAACACCAATGTTGTCCCATTTTTGAGGGAAACCTGCATCTGTGCAAAGCTGTTCCAAGATTGAAACCAGCTGAGTTTTAGGTGAATTAGCTGTCTGACACCATGTGTAGTGCTTGTGTAACTAAGCAGCAGGTCTACCAGTGTAAATCACCTGTGTAAATCCTGCCACTTGTGTAAATCTTTTCTCTGTCTTTCCAGGCAAAAGCAAGAAAGAGAACAGTTAGTAAAGCAGCTGAGCCAGTTGGTGGGTATGGAGTTAATGGAAGAAGTAATAAAGGAGAGTGTTCAAGAAGCTTCAGCCAGTGAGTTAAAGTAAGTACAACGTACTGTATGCTATACTTTGCTGTTGTATGCTTTCCTAAGGGTAAGAATTTGTTAGGGAGTGGTGGGCTTCTTGCTTGCCCTTCTCTGAGTTCATCTTTAATAAGCTGCTTAAGAGAGGGTCAGTGTACTGGGTCATACAGGGGGCTGCCTGTTTGCAGTCACACTTGTGTCAGGTTGTAGCAGTCCTCTGGGGTGGAGGAAATAAAGGCTTTGTCAAGGACAAGGCTGCCCTGTGTGCTAATTTTTCTTCTGAATCCCTTATGGCTCAGCTGCGGCCTTTCTTGTAGATGCTTCTTTGGAAGCCCATGATCAGTGTAAAACTTGAATGATTTCTGACTCATTACAAGTCTTGTTTAGAAGGGCAATAACATAGAAGTGTGGAAAATCCCTCCCCTTTGCTAAATGTGATGGTCTTCCCTGTTTGCACCTCATCTAATTGTGCTGGCATTTGTGGTGGTCTCCACCTTGCTAGAGATCTTGTTTTGTTTCATTTTGAACTAGATGTGCCTTGGAAAGAGACCGTCAAGCTCGTATTGCCCGGTGTTCAGAAGAAGTTTGTGGTCATGTCATGGACCTCTTTCTGGAGGATGAGATTTTTCAGATTGCTAAGGAAACCCTTCAGGAGCTCCAGTGTTTCTGCAAGTACTTGCAACGGTGAGTTAACACTCTGACAAAACTGCTTTTCTTGGGAGTGTTGGCACAGAGTGGTTAATAGAGTTTGAACTTAGAGCTGTCTGGTTGCATTTTTTGCTGTTGTCTTTTCTCGACTATAAGTGCGGACTTAGGGGCTTATTACGAGCCTCTAGGAAGTTACTCAGCTATATGTGAGCAGGGGAGCATACCTCATCGGAGTTGGGTAATGAGCTTGGTAGATTTCAGCTTCACTATCTAGAAACTTGTAATAATTTCTCCTTCTTTCTATTGGATGCTTGTTTTTTCTGGGTGTGTGCTAAGTGTTCAGTGGCTGTTGTGGTTCCCCAAGGCAGAGATTCATTTCTTCCTGTGCTGTGGTGCCCCAGTGCAGTCAGGGTGAGGTGCATTTCAGGTGGCATTTATCACTGCTAAAGGGGAAGCAGTGGGCTAGTCTTTTTAATGCAGAGCACCTTTCCTTGCAGAATTCTTTCTGTCCTAAAACTGAGTTTTGTGTGTCTTCTGAGCATGCGTAAATTGCTTTCAGTGTGATAGTGAAGGTTAAGGAGGAGCATAAAGATATGTGAAACAAATGTACATGCAGCAGTCAAGAAAACTGGATGATGTAGGAGTGTTTTTAATGAGCCCTGAAAATACCTGAGGAAATGTAATAAGATTTCATTTCATAATTTTTTGTGTTACAAATCTGTTAGGTGTATATGTTTTGAATTATTTGGTCATAGAAAAATAAATTAGCATCTGATGATAAAGGATTTATTATACGTTGTCTCCTTGATGGTGAATTGCCTTTTTAAATGTTCATTTAAAACAGAACAAGAAGAAAGAGAGGCTTACCTTTCTTACTGCAATAGGTATTGCAAAAGTATTTTCAGCAAGCGAGGTAACAGAGAAGCTTTATAATGGGTCATTGTAAAATGCTCTATGGGCTAGGAATAAACATTCTGAAAAAGGTGAAGAAAAACTATACTTGAAGTCTTGCCTGGGGAGCACGGCTAGGCCAGCTGGGGATGGGCTGAGATAGAAGAGTGGTAATCCTGTTTCCCTCCCGTCATCTCTCTGGCCACTGAGAGCAAGTGCAGCTTGCTGAGCAGAAGGCTGCTCCCCTTTGTCTGCATTGGTTTTTGAATGGGGCACAAGGCTGCCCCATTTGGATGCTGCATGTGTACAGCTGGCAGGTCTGGTCCTCTGCATGCTCTGTTTGAGCTCTAACTCTGCAGCTGTGTGCAGAAACAGCCTCAGCCTACTGCACCACCTCACACTGGCCCCTGGGACTTGGGTGTCTACAGGGGAAAGGTGAGAAAACCTTGTTTGGTCTGCAGAAGGGTTTATTAATGTGACCTATTCTCTTCCAAAGGTGGAGGGAGGCAGTGGCAGCTCGAACAAAGTTAAGACGTCAAATGAGGGCATTTCCAGCTGCTCCCTATTGTGCAGATCCAAAAAATAAACTGAAAGCACTGTCCCCCAGTGCTGAGTGCCCTATAACCATGGAGAACTTGTCCAGGAGAATTGTAAACCTGGGGAATGGAGGAAAGCTGGGAGTCTCTTGCACTAGGTAAGGATACTTACAGTGACAGTAGTTGGCAAGTGGTTGATTTTTGGAAGGTAAGTTACAAAGTAGTCCTCTTTGAACCTCCATTGTGAACGTTAATGGTTTTGTAAAACTGCTCTCGCATACCCCCAGAAATACCCTTTCTGCACAAATGCTGTGACGAAGGCTGCAAACGTAAAGAAACCCTTCATCTATTAACGGCAGTTTTCTAAAGTGTCCGCAGTACTTTTCAGGTCTTGGTGTTTCTTAAATTTTGTTAAAGTACCTGTTTTGTACCCAAAATTACAACCAAGAATCTCTCGTTTCCAGGTTGAATTGGCTGAGAAACAAGACAGTGCATGACATCAAAGTTCAGCACTTCTACCAGCAATTGTTAAGGTATGATGGCATTTGATCCTTGTTTTCTTAGCAAATTGTAATAAATGCCAGAAATCTTGAAAATACCAGTAAGAAGTGGCAAATCGTACTCAGTTGTCCACTTGCAGCCTTGCTCCTTCAGTTTTCCAGATAAGGGAAACTGAAAAGTAAATTCATGGAAGTGTCAGGCCATCTGATCCTATTGACATGGGTGTAACTTTAAGGATCTGATGGTTATTATGGGTTTTTTTTGTACCTGGGTGGGATGATGCCGGGGCTGGAGTATAGGAGGAGAGGAGTAAATGAGCTGTTACTGGCCTGGCTTGTGGCGGGAAGGAATTGATCTAGGTGTTTAAAATGCAGCAGGAGGTCTGCCTTCACACAGCTCATCATGCATGGCCCACGTGTTTATTGGAGCCAGGTGTTGAAGCAGTGTGGAAGTGAAGCAATGCCCACAATCCCCAAAGTAAGGCTCATACAACACATCTAGCAGCTGCAGTTTTTGAAGGTATCTGGGCTGTAGTGAAATAGATGTGAAGGCAACTGATCTAAAGAATTAGCTCTGACTTTTGACTGTTTGAACTGAATGGTAGCTACTTACAGTATTGTAACTTGTTCAAAGTGAAAAAAATGTTCTCCAGATGGGAAATGAGCACTAGGGGGTCTTTTCACCAGTTTTTGTCTCTCTAAGTGAGTTTGCTTGGATTCCCCTGGATCTTGTCTCATTAATCACTGAACATACTCCAGTTCAACAAGAACAGGTTTTTTGGAAGGTGCTGTTGGTTTTGCCAAATGATGATGAATATGTGGAGGATGATCCCAACAGGTGAGTAAGAGTTCATTGCTGGGTCACTTTCTCAAACAGGGCAGTCAAATAGAAGAGTAGTTATATACAGTCTTTGTGGTTTGTGTTTTTTTTTTTTTTCCCTGTACCATGTCAAATTTCCAGTTGTGTGTTGTGTTTTGTGTTTTTTTTCTCCAGAGCAGTCTAAAGAATATAGCTGTAGTTTATTGTAGTGGTCTCTGTCTTCTGACATTATTCATTGAATTCCTTTTGCTCATACTGAAAACAGAAAACCTTGAGATATGTAGCAGTGGATCATTTCAGGACATTTAATAACTATTTACTAAAATCCAAGCAGTATGAAGGTTGGGGTTATAATAGGTTGTCGTGTCCTAGAGGTGCTGGTGTTAAAACCCTAAAATGCCATTTAAAAAAAAAACAAAAAAACCAAACAACCCAGGAGCCCACTCTTTCTTGTTTGCCAGGGTACTGTTGGATTGGTTAAAAGCCAAATTTATGGGAGACAAAAACTGGAAGAAAAACACTTCACATACAGAAGGCAGAATTCAAACGCTGACATTATTTAATTCTTCTGGCATGCAAGGCAGCAGAAGCATCAAAATCAGTGTGTGTATAAAGGTGAGAACAATTTCATGATACTGAACAGGCCATAAGTGCAGGGTATGGTTTTTTTTGCCAGTGGATGTTGTGCAGAGGCTTTTGACACCCTCCTGTCAGATGGAGGAAGATGATACTGGGAGGGATGGGGTTGTCAAAAAGCTCTGAAAAAAGATGGACTTTGTCTTTGTTTCCAGTCAACTGAGTTAAATAATCTGCCTAAATGCAGTGCAATAGTTAAAACCTCAATCATCTCAATTCCTGATGCTCGATCAGGTGCTGAAGTGCACTTTTGTAGCATCTGTTGAACACATTTGTCCAACAGCTTATTGTCTTAGGATTTGTAGAGCTCTTGGTAACAAATGTCAAAGCTGAATGCTAATATAGTAAACTGAAGATTTCAGTGTGAAAATATCTTTGTTTAGCTTTAGTTACATTACTGTTGTCATCTTTGTTACTTGTATAGGTGGCACATGGTGTGCTCTCTGACTCTGAGCTTGATATGGCTGAGATGCAAAAAGACTTGCTTGGAACAAGTGGTCTCATTCTTCTCCTGCCCCCTCGAGTTAAGAGTGAAGATGTTGCAGATGATGATGTTTATTGGCTTTCAGCTTTGCTACAGTTGAAACAGTTGCTCCAGGCCAAACCTTTCCACCCAATAGTTCCCTTGGTGGTTCTAGTCCCCAGTCAGGAAGAGGAGGCCACAGAGAAAGAAGTAGAAGAAGGTATGTAATTACTTCTGTGTCTTGAAAAAAGAATGTGAATATTGAGGGCTGTCCCAAGTAGAACTGTTGAGACTACCCAGCCTTTCAAATGCAGCATCTAGTAAAGGGAGAGACTGGAGTACAATACTCCTTAAAGCTTTGCTAGAAAATCTGGGGCCTTGAGAACTGATCAGTATGGGAAGAGATTAACTTCCTTTTGGCTTCCAGTTGCCCTTTCCGCACAGTATTTGATCCTGAGAGTCTGTGGGCAAGGATGGAGAAGTGATGCTGTGAATGTATGCAGAAAGTGTGGTCAGAGTAGGAGGTACCCATTTGTTCTTTCTTTATATATGGCATGTTTTCTTATTTTTAAGGTTTGATGCTGCAGGACTTGATTTCAGCCCAGCTTATTTCAGACTACACCATTGTTGAGCTCCCAGTTTCTATCAATGACTTAGAAGGCACCAGAAGGGTAAGAACAGCAACTCACATGAAGAGATACTTGACTGGTTTATGATTAACCTCTCAATTACTAATGCCTTATAAAGAATGATTGTGTTCTCAGTAGCTTAAATTGCAACTGAGGCTTGTGTAATGGGATATTTTTTCCATTGAAGTTTCTGTAACTGTTTTTGTTCAAAAAGCTCTCTTACAGTTTCTTTTCACATCCTGGAATTTGCTGAAGTCCAGTACTCGCTTGTTAATAGTGATTCCAATAACAGCCAGAACTATTCTGAAATTAAATATTTCTGCTAATTTTCCATTGTTTGAGACGTATTTTGACTGAGTAGAGATCAATGGCGTTTCCTACATGAAAGATAGCTTCACCCGTGTAATAATGAAAACTGCACTGAGACCAAAGTATGTGAATTATGTAAAGTCATTCTTGTTTGTCCCACCTGCCTTGACTAGCAGGGGTACAGTTGCTGTCTAATGGATGAGCATTAGTGATAGTTAAGCCTTTGTACCTTTAAGCTGCCAGCCCTAAAATACAAAGGACCCTTTATAGGTCTTCTAGCTGCTGTGAGATCACCCAGTATTATTTCATCTTGATGGATGGGACTTAAAGCTTGGTGGATGTCTTTACACTCTCACATATGTAAAGAAAGATTGTACAGAGCTCTCCCTGACAGACTCCAGACACCAGCTTTTCTCTTTGTCTTTCAGTTTGCTGTGTGCTTGGTAATAGTGACCTGGAGATGACTTAAAAGCCCGTGATAGAAAATGATACAAGTCTAAACCAGTTTTTTGTGCGTGAGTTGCAGCAGGGTGGTTTGGAGAGGTGGGAGAGGGTAATGGCCAAGAGCAGCTGAGTTGATTCAGACCAAAAGCAGTTCTAGCCCTGTATTCCCTTCACAAGGTGTCTGAAAAAGGTGCCTAAGAAAGGAGGTGAGAACAAGACAAGCCCAGAGTGATGCTCCCCCACACACCCTCACAGCTTGCATCTCTTTGCAGTGAAGGACTACCAGTATCAGACATGGCTTCTCTGATATAGTCACCTTGGGTTAATTTCTGTAAAACTTTCTAATTTCTCCAAGATAAGTTTTCAGCATTCCCATGAAACAAAGAGTTTCACTCAACAGTCAGGATTGAGTGTAACTGTTCAGCAGGGATTTTTTATTGGCAGCACTGGGGATCGCTCCACCACAAGTGCCACACCTACTAACAAAACTCTCTGACTAATATACACAAAAAGCACACATATGCATCAGATTTCCTAGAAAAGGCAGTCTTATGCTAATAGATTCTCAGAATTCATTTACATAGTCTGAGCATGCATAGTTAAAATAGTGAGGGTCTTCTCCCCTCCTTAGGGGTCCTCACAGCCTTTCTCACACTGTCCGTTAGTGAACTTTATGTTTCTCGTGTCCATACATGGTCATAGAGTGATGTCATCCATCCTCCAGCTCCTGTTTGTTCCAAGGAGGTTAGTTTAGACCAGCTTCCAGTTGCTTATCTTGACACTGGCGTCTTCTTAGCACAAACCTAAAAAACAAGTGCCTATCAGGGATGTACTCAGGTTGTTTTTCAGATTGTCCAAGGTCTGTCTTATCTCCACTAGGCAAGGAGTTACAGGCTTCAAAGCATCTTACAAGTGGGTAATGACTACAGAGGATAGTTAGGAAAAACTATAAATGAAATTATATACATTACAGTAAAATATGAGAAAAATAAAAGCTAGTAAAACACAAGTGATGTCTAACTTAAAACTAAATGTAGCAACTTCCCTTCACCCAGTGTCCTGCAGCAGGGAATTCCACTGTGTGACTGCACTTGGTGCGAACAGCCTCTTTCTGTGTGTTCCTGAGCCTGCTGCATGTGAATTTACCTTGACCCACCCAGTTGGAGAATTAGTGTTGCAAATATTGGGATGATGATTGTTGATTTGTTTGTATTTTGCTGCATAGTATCTTGAATAGTGTTACATCAAATTTAAGGTTGTAGGATTGAATCCTTTGTGTCCTGATTGCTGCAAAGCAGTTTCCAGCTACGGATGTTTTGTGTGTTGTAGATCTCTGCGGCTGTTGGCTGGCTGGTATCCCAGTGCCCTGACTCCCTTGAGCTCTGCAGTCAGACCCTTCGGGAGTATGTCGAGGATGGGATTGATGGTGAATTTGGCAAGCGCTTCTACCATGACTGGAAGGAGAGGCGGTTAGCTGGTCTATCATCTCAGGAGCCTGGGATCATCATAGAGCTGTACAACAGTGTGCTGCAGTTTCTTTCAGATGTGGCATCATCAGAGCACCTTTGTGATTTGTCTTGGCCTGTTACTGAGTTTTCAGAGCCTGGGGGTAACAAGCTGTTGCCCCACCTGCACTGGAACATGCCTGATCACCTGGCCTGGCTGAAGAAGGCTGTGCTATCTTTCCAGATCCCGTACCTAGATCTGCCTCCGTTAGGTGGTATGTACTTCACACTGCAGTATGTTCCTAATGGCGTGGCATGTCATTCTCTCAGATGTGCCTGTGCCATGTTGAACTACCAGCCTGTAAGGTGGATAGTTTTGCTCTGTCACAAGTTCTTGCAATTAACTTGCTTTATTTGTTTTTCCCATAGCTCCCTGGCGTCCTGTTTGCCACATGATTTTTCAGTATGTGTCTCAGATTGCTAGTTCTTCCCATACTCAACCACTGATCCAGTCTCAGGTGGAGAATCTGCTGAGCAAAACTTACCAGAAATGGAAAAACAGGACATCTGGGAACTCTGATGAAGAAGGACCTTCTGTTGATGAGATCCCTTGGGATGATATTTTGGCAGTCTGCATTGATCATAAACTGAGAGACTGGAAACCACCCAAACTGCCTATTACTCCAGGTATCTTGTGTCCTGCAGCATGGATGATACTTCTGACATGACTGTGTTCAATAATTTGACAGTCATGGCTTTATCTGTGGCAGGGAGGGAACTATGGTCATGATCTCCTCTTGTAGAATGATGCTGTGCTTACTGCACATCTGCTTTTTCTTTAGAGTGTGTATTTAGTGTTTATGACTTGAGCTTGTGGTTTAAAGTTTTGTCTCTGAAGGGATACAGTCAGAGTCTTCTAGCCCTCCTCTCCCAGTAGGAGAGGGTTTACATTGAACCAAAGGCCAAGAATTGTCCCTCAGAGGTCATGTAAGCTCTAGTCACTTGAGATGGCAGGCTGTGACTGTTAATGAGCACTTCTATGCATTAATGAAGCTTGTCTCAGATTCTGCTTGCTTTGTTTCAAGTGTGTTTGGCTTAACTTTAGGGAGCCTCTTTTAATGAAATGACTACTTAATCCACTGAATGTTGAACTTGGATGCACTAGGATTTTTAAAATGAAGATAAAGCTGCATTTTACAGTCTTTCCCAGGCAACTCCTTTTTACATGCAGATTACTGTTTAAATTGCTTGAAAGTGAACATGTGATTTTTTTTTTTTTTTTTTTTTCCTTCAAACTGGCTTTTCAGTACTGAGCTTTTCTGAAGGGGAAAGTCTGTTCTAATGTTACCTGTTGGTTTTGGGTTTATTCACAGAAGCAGTAAGTGAAGATGGTCAGGTTCGTGTGTACTTCTTCAGGGAGCATTTAAAGAACTTCACTCTCCCATTTTCTTGGGAGCAAGCCAGACTGCGCACACAGGAGGAGATCCGGCAAGGGCATGAGAGGTGAGGTGGCTGTGGGAGTAGCATTCAGCAGGCCATTGTGCCATCAGAGTTGCTTGGTGAACTCTATGGAGGTTGCTCAGGGCCTCTATGATGAACATACAGTGCTGTCACGATGCTGAAAACCAGCATATGACATCCTCCCAGAAAGTGCTTGTGCACATCTCCTTGAAATAATGTACAAGGCTGTGCTGAAACCCAGTAGTATGTAGATTTTTATTTCTGTAGGGTTACTCAGCTCTCAGAGAAATGGATTGTTTGGGAGATGCTTAAGTATTATAAATTGAGGTATTAGCTTCTCCCAAAGAAAATATTCTTGAGGCTTTGGAATTAGACTTGTACTCTAGGTAGACAAAGCATGGAAGAAAAACAGTGTGAGGCTGGGGAAGAGCATAGGAATAAATCATGAGCCTGCCCTTTATTTCATAATGCCCCCTCCCTTACATTCACCTTCAGTTGCAGCCTGGACATGTTAAATGATTTGTGGATTTACTCTTTGGTAATTACATGCCCATTTTGCAGCGTTTTGAGTTCAAAAAAAGGCTTTGTCTCCAACTTGAGGGAGGACATCAGGAAGGGACTACTGATAAGAGAAAATGATAAGAGGTTGAGCAGGGAGGGTGCCTTAGGGCTGTGTGAGATCTCAGAAGTCTAGCTCTTCCCCAGCCTTGTTCTCTTCTCTCCTGGAAGCTTAGCTGCTGCTCTTCTGTGTAGCAGATGTTTAGATATCTTTCTTTGGGGTGAATCCCAGCTCCCTGTCAGATTAGTTCCTCTTAAATCCCACACAGAAGTGGTGGTATGTTGGACTCTGGTACAAGGGAATTAGTCTCCAAATGATCAGTTCTCTCTCCCTGCTATTTCCAAACTTCAAGCTAATAAAGGAAAAAAATCAACATGCTTATACAATGCTTATATAATTTCTGTGCTTTTGTGTCTTTTTTTTTTTTCCCTTCCCCCTCAGGTCAAGGGTAAAATCTTCCAACTCTTTTAAGAAGCCCTATAGCGTCTCCATGATGCCAGGTCAATATGGTTCTGGCATGAGCATGCTGTCAGGTCAAGAAAAGAGCATTCCCAGTACAGATGAATTCACAGAATTCACAGGCACAGCCTCAGCTCAGGAGCTTCTCCCAGAGCGTCTGTTGGCACAGTTGCAGCTAGAGAAAATGGAAAGCAGGAGGTAAGTTCTCAGAGCAGCATCCTCTCCCTGTAGCTCCAGCCGAGTGTTGTAAACAATTTCCAACTTGTAATGGGAAGCTGAAGTCCAACAGTGCTAGGAAACAGCCTAATCTCCAGTTTCACCTCATTTCATCAAGCACATCAGTGCAGAGTGGTTCCCTGCTGACTGGATGATAGACATACTTGGAGTTTTGAGGAGCGGTTGGAAACTGTGGTCAATTAAGCCACCAAAATTACAGCAGTACCATGTGTACAGTATTCTGTGTCTCCTGCAGTCACAAAGGGCACTCATCCTACCTGACCCTTAGGAGCAGGATGGTAGGCACTGGTTTGTGCCATCTACCCCAGCAGACGCTGATGTATTCCCCTGGATGGAGCTGCTGAGGGGAGAGGCAGCAGTGCAGGCCTCAGACCTCAGCAAGTGCCCGGACCTTTCTCCTGGGGCAGGGACAGGCAGCAGACCTGCCTGCAAAAGGTATGTCCAGGTGGAGGAGCTCCTGCAGCAGGTTGGCTGAGCTGCAGGAGGTGGTGGGAAGGCTGCCTTAACATCAGGGAGGCTGAGGAGTTAGATAGCTGGTTCTAAGTGCAGTCTGCAGTGATCGTGATCCCACAGCCCATGGCCAAACAGCCAAAAACTGCGCCAGCACACGTGGAAGGAAGGGGGCCGATAATGCAGAAGAATGCAACAGCAAGGACCTGCAGGAGGGAGAGACTTCCCCTGAAGCCTGAGGTGCCTTTGCAGAACAGCTTCACCACTCCACACACAAGAGGAAAGACTCATCACATCAGGAGAGACACTGGAGCTGAGTAAGGCAGCCTGGTCTGCTCCTGTATAACGACTAGTGCAACTAAGAAAAGGTGGTGGGTGATAGTAGGTGACTCTTCTGAGAGGTACTGAGGCACTATCTGCCAACCTGATGCGCTCCAGAGAGGTGTGCTGCTTACCAGGGGCTCATGTCTGAGATGTCACCCAGAGGCTGCCAAGCCTTCTACAGTCCACTGACTGATATCCACTGCCATTGTTTCACGTGGGCACCGATGATACAGCCAGGAGCAGTCTGATGAGTAGCAAGGGCTACAGAGCTCTGGGAGTGGTGGTAAGAGACTCTGGATCACAGATGGTTTTTTTCATCAGTCCTCCTGGTCAGAATGGTTTGAAAGGACTGGTTTAATCTGGCAAGTCAACAATTGGTTACAGGGTTGGTGCCACAGCCAGGGGTTTGGCTACTTTCAGACCATGGGACTTGGTTTGAGAAACCTGGGCTGATGGGGGTTTGTCTGTCAAAGGGGAGGAGCATCTTTGGCCATAGGCTTGCCAAGCTGGTAAACTTAAAACTAAAGTAGCCAGGGGAGGGGAACCTCGATCCATCCCACTCCTACCAGCTTGATGCCAGTGCCAGCAATAGATGCATGGAGAGAAGGGTCACAGGGCAGCAGGAGAGCACCTGAAGAGCAGCACAAAGGAATTCTAGCCAGTAGATCAGCTTCACTGGGGGCCCAACTTAAACACCTCTGTGCAAATGCATGTAGAATGGGGAGGAAACAAGAGGAGCTGGATGTGTGCATGCCTGCAGGGCTATGATCTTACTGGAATCATGGAGCTATGGCTGGAGTGGTGACATGGAAGGATACAGGCTCTTTAGGAAGGACAGGCAGGTGGGACAAGGAGTGGGGGTTCATCCTCTATGTCAGTGCCCAGCTGGAGTGCCTGGAGCCCTGCCTGGGGATGGGTGAGGATCTGACCGAGAGTTTATAGGTTAGGATTAATGTGAGGGCAGGGACAGGAGATGTTATCATGGGGATCTGCTGCAGGCCACCCAGCCAGGAAGACTGAGTGGATGAGGCCATGTATATACAGATAGGGGCAGCCTCATGTTCACAAGCCCTGGTCCTTATGGGGGACTTCAACCACCCTGATATCTGTTGGATGGGCAACACAGCAGGGCATAAGCAACCCAGGAGGTTCCTGGCATGCATTGATGATAACTTCCTTCTCCAAGTAATAGAGGAGACAATGAGAAGGGGTGATATGCTGGGTCTTGTTCTCACCAACAAGGAGGGCCTGGTGGGAGTGTGGAGGTCAAGGGCAGCCTTGGCTGCAGTGACTCTGAAATGGTGTTGTTCAGGATCCTTAGGGCAGTGAGGAGGCTGCACAGCAAGCTCACTACCCTGGACTTCAGGAGAGCAGCCTTTGGCCTCTTCAGGGATCTGCTTGTCAGAGTAACAGGGGATAAAGCCCTGGAGAGAAGAGGGGCCCAGGAAAACTGGTCATCTCTAGAGAGTGTGTCAGATTGGCAGATGGGTGCCTTGAAGATGAACCCTGAAGATGATGAGGAGCTGGAGCACCTCCCCTATGAGGACAGGCTGAGAGAGTTGGGGGTGTTCAGCCCAGAGAGGAGAAGGCTCTGGTGAGACCTTAGAGCAGCCTCCCAGTACTGAAAGGGGCTACAGGAAAGGTGGGGAGGGACTCTTGATCAGGGTGTGTAGGGATAGAATGAGGGGTAACAGTTTTAAACTGAAAGAGGCAGGTGTAGATTAGATGTAAGGAAGAAATTCTTCACTGTGAGGGTGGCAAGACAAAGGAACAAGTCAGAGAAGCTGTGGCTGCCCCCTCCCTGGAAGGGTTCAAGGCCAGGTTGGACAGGGCTTTGGGCAACCTGGGCTAGTAGGAGGTGTCCCTGCCCGTGGCAGGGGGTTGGAACTAGGTGATCTTTAAGGTCCCTGCCAACCCAAACCATTCTGTGATTGTATGACATGTCTATGAAGCCCACTTTGGGATGTCAGTATGGTGCCTGTAGCAATGCAGATGACAAAGCTGAAGAACTAAAGCTTTTGAGGTTGCACAAGGTTTTCTTCTCTTTGCTGCCTTCCCCATCAGTTGGTCATCTTCCGTCTGTGTGGCTCCTTTCTGTAACATCTATGATGGATTTTCGTCATAGCAGTGGCATATGGCAGGCCCTGTTGGGAATGACTGAGCATCAGATCCTTCTTGCAGATGTTTCTGAACCCAAAACTCTTAACCCACTAATTACAAGAACAAAGCCAGGCTGTAATCTGACTGGTGCTCTTGATCTTTCTGTCCAGGTTTGAAGAACAGTTGCACCAGTGTCTAGCTGAGAACATTGAGCCCCTTGGTGATTTTGTAGGTCTTCCTCTCTACCTCCCCCAGTCTCTGGTCTCCACCCCAGCTGTCACCTGTCCACTGATGAAGAGTCCTGCATCATCTGCTCAAGAGGTAAGAAAGGGTAGTACTGAGAATTAACTAGTTCTGAGGAGTGCAGGTGCCAAACCTGCTGCAGTTGCAAAACCTTCAGTGGGAATTACCTTATTGTGCAGTACTGGGTAGACTTGGGAAATAAAGAATTGAAAAACTATGCCTTGGAAATAACCTCTTTCCAGGGAGGGATCTGGAATAAGAGTTCACAGGTGTTCATGCTTTCTGCTGCTGGCAGTCATAACACTATCCCTTGTGGTGCTACACTGTAATGCAGGGAATCGCTGTTGTGGCTCATCTTCCCCCACTGAAGGGAAGCTGGGGACAGAAATAGAAGAACATGCCATTTTTGCCTTACCCCTTCAAGAGTGGGTTGGGGGGGTGCTGACCTCCATGGTTGTTCTCAAAAGTGGGGGAACAGCCAGTGAGCTAAGAAGTTCCATGTTTTTTTTCTCAGTCTCGTCTCTTTTCCTTCTGCACAGGGTGGGAGTCAAGAGGAATGCAAGCTTTTGGCGGAGGAGCTAAGCCCCATGCTGTCGGACAGACTGAAACACTTGCAATGGCTCCTCAAAGCAACCAAGGAGGGTGAAGTTGCCTCTGAGCTCCATCTGTCTGCTCTGGTGGACATGGTGGATATTTGAGTGGAGCTGAGATACATGTGCAGACCAAGACACTTGCCAAAGAAACCCAGGTCTGCCTGATTTGAACAGATAAGGTCCTGGGGAGCATTCCAGAAAAAGCAGGTGTACTGGGAGAACAGAGCACATGTGGGGCCTGAGCCCTCATAGCATGGCTGCCTTGGGCTCACTGTGTCCCTTTGATTCACAACTAAACTCTGGTTGGTCTGGGACTCCCTCCTTTTCTGCTTCTCAGATACAGAGATGAGACAGATCCTTTTTTTGGAAGGCCTTACATTGACACTTAATGGTGATTTAAATTTTTTTTTTTCTTTTTACCAGCTCTATTTGTAGAGAACTATAAGGTAGCAGAGGCCCTGGGAGCATCAAAGCAATTGCTCTCAATAGACACAGTCCCTGAGATGTTGTCCCAGCTCGGTGCTTGCTTGCTTTGTGCAGAAGCTACCTTGCAGCAGCGGTGTGGTTTGATTCCCAGTAAATAGTATGAAGGTAAACTTCATGTCTGCAGTACTCCTGTACAAGTAGTCTTTGTAAATTATTTATAATACCTGAGAAAGATCTGCTGACAAACTTCTGCCTGGTAAAATGCAAATTGCTGCAGCTTTGGCAGTGAACAGTGATGATCTTGCCTGTCAGAGATCAGCTGTCTGACTTGTTTCTAATGTCATTTGAAATTTTCAGTACTCCAAAACTGTCAGCTACCTTCCAAAAATAATTTTATAGTTAGTTTTTTAATAGCATTTGTATTATTTCTCTTAAGCCACTATTGCTATTCTAGGCTTAATATTAAGTTGAAATAAGAAATTTAAACTGAGTAAACTATGCTGTGAGACTATTCATGCTACATCTGCTTTTGTTGGGCAGAGTTACCTTTCACTAGCTGCGTGAAAAGTGAATCCTTTGTGCTGCTCTCTGCTGTGCTTTAACCCAGTGCTCCTGTTGCTGGCTTTGGTTTACCTGCATTTTAGCTGTGAAAACCCAGAGGTGGTTTAGGATGAGTTTCAGGCCAGGTGCTGTAAATGCTTTTATACCTAATAAATTTGTAGTGTGTGGCAATGTAGTGTGTGGTTGTTTCTTTGTCAAAAGGTGTTGGTGCGGCTTGGTGCGCAGGGTGTTGGGCTGTTTCGTGTTGGTGGTGCTTATCGGTCAATGCGCGGGGGGGGTGTGGGCGCCGGCCCCGCTCCTAGCCGGGAAGGGCAGCAAAAGCGCTGCCCTCTCTGAGGCTCGAACTCAGGACCTTCAGATTATGAGACTGACGCGCTGCCGGCTGCGCTAAGAGGGCGCCGTTGTGCCGGGCCGGGCCGGGCCTCCAG